GTTATGATGAGAGTTAAGCTAATATCAAGTCTAGTTTAAATTAATTAGTTAAGGCTTTCAATTTTTTAACACAAATACAAACCAATGATTTTGAATTGTAATTAACTCTCTCCTCTTCAATGAGGACACGTCTCGTCTCATATTCAATACTAGCCTTCGGCTATGAATATGTATTTTACGATACGATAGTTTTGAAGTTCAAGACCTCAGACTTTGAATGCTATCTAAGTTTTTCTTCTTTTAATGAAATTTATGCAAAAACTGTACTATAATCTTAAAATTTATATTATTATTACACATTTTAATGTTTATTTTATTATAATTTATAATCTTAATCTTTTACAATAAAAGTTTTACTATTTATCTTGAATTATAACAGGAATTGAGAGTCGCTTTTGATAACGAGAAGCCGGCCGCAGGCAAAGATAGACTGCTATTGACAGTGGCTGTGCCGGCCGGTCAGGAGTATATTGACCAGGGATTTGATGTGCCCTCCATTTCACAGTAATTTTCACATATATCTTAATTTTGTTAAATTTTTAAATCACTATAAAGTGCTGACATAATTACAAAATAGTAATTTTTCCGAAATCGTAAATTACATTCACATAACTTTCCCCATCGCACAGGAATGTGGACTTCCTAAACGTGTTGAACTATGACTATCACACGGCCTTTGATCCCGAGACCGACCATCACTCGCCTCTGAAGGCACGACCAGATCAGAGCAGATTCGATGAGTCGAGTAAATTCAATACCGAATGGACTATCAATTACTACTTACAATTAGGTGCCCCCAGAAGTAAGTTGATTCTGGGTATTCCCACATACGGGCGTTCATTCACTTTGGCCGACCCCAACAAAAATGGTTTGACGGCTACAGCTGAAGGGCCGGGAGAGGCCGGAGTGTCGACCAGAGAAAAGGGTTATTTGGCTTTCTATGAGATCTGTCAGAAGATCGAAGAGGAGGGTTGGAGTACTCAGAGGCCGTACCCCCAGATAGAGGGCCCCTATTCTTTCAAAGACAATCAATGGGTCGCTTACGACGACATCCAAAGTATTGAACAGAAGGTGCGCTTCATTTTGGAGAAGGGTTTGGGAGGGGCTATGATCTGGACGTTAGATAACGACGACTTTCGCGGACTCTGTTATGGAGAGCAGAGCCCACTCGTGAACGCCGTCAAGACAGCCCTCGCCAACAACATCGTGGAGAGCAGTTCCAGTGAACGCACGGCTTCCAGGTTTATACGACCCGGTCCTCAGAGTGTCCCCAAAGAAGAGGTTGCGTTGTCGGCACTTAATGTCAACACTCGTCGCAACCAATTGAGACGATTCCAGTTCCAGACAACGCCCTCGACGACGACCACCACTACGACGACGACAACTACCACAACAACTACAACACCTGCGCCCACATTCAAGGAGACAGTTCTGAGGACAACTCCTGAACCGCCGCCCACTCCAGATCCCGGAGCTGCGTTTGAGTGCGAGGACGAGGGCTTCTTCAATAACCCCAAAGACTGTCGCAAATACTTTTGGTGTCTGGATAGCGGACCCGCTAACCTGGGGATTGTCGCCCACGCCTTCACCTGTCCATCCGGTCTGTACTTTAACTCGAAGACCGAAGCGTGCGATTACCCCGAGAACGTGAGCTGTAAGAAAGCACCCAAAGAAGACATCACTACTAAAAGACCTAAACTAAAGACTAAGCCAACCACTACTACCACCACAACCACCACTACTACACCTCCGCCCACAACCACTACCACCACAACACCTGCACCAACAGAACCACCATTTGATTTGAGCGATAGGGCTAACATTGAGCTCTTATCCACTGCTTTAAGACAACTGAATTCCGCACAACAGTCCGGTAATAGCAACGATGCCTTACAACTCGTTAATTTGATTCAATCGCTGGGAGGGGTCGACAAAATACAGTCTCTTCTACAGTCTGGAGGTCTCGGAGGACTTCTTGATGATAATAGCGCTTCATCTCCGGCAACAACCCATAACTTTTTTGCGCCCTCTTATGTGACACCCAATCGACAACAGGACAACACTCTGCCGCCGCAGACATTCACTGAGACGTCGATATTCTCGTCATCCGATGCGAGACGAGAGCCTCAGAGACGAAGACCTCAATTCGATTCGGCTCTACAGACAACTACTTTGAACCCTATTTTCTCCTTTTATGAAACGCCCAAAAACTCTAGAAGTAATGCCAACACCGACTCAAACCCCCAATCATTTACATTCACATATAACACACCGGGAGGTCGAACGGCCGGACACGAAGGCTCTTTCAACGAGGCATCCATCTCTCGGCCATCAATTCAACGTTTCAACGCATCGGCGCGTTTGGGGGCGCCGTCCACTTCACGCGGAGTATTCGCCACGGAGTCACCCATTGATAGACCCAGAGCTCAGTCCCAATCCAATCAAGTATTTAGAGTACCCGTCAGTGTTAGCGCCGGACGAGTAGTTAGATTACCTGTCGATGCGCTCGACAACCGAAACCCTCAGTCGGCCCGAAGGGTCAGAGTTCAGAGCGCCTTCTCGGCCGCCACCGAAAGACCGCAATCGGGGGTTGTTTACGATGAAGAGACCCAAACACAAGCGCCCGCTCACGCCTTAAGGCCACAATTCGCCCCACCCTTTGCTCCCCAACCACTGCCCCAATCCATTCCCGCACAAACACAACCCATTGAGGATGTGACGACCCAACGGCCACTCAGACGCCGCCTTCCGCATCGGTTTAATTTGAAGCCCACCGCTGATGAGAACCCAGTGTCGGCGCTCATAAACCTTCCGCCCAGAGCTTCAAACACTTTGCAAAATTCAAGACCACACAGACCTCAGCCAATAGATGACCCGTTACTGCAGATTCAGACGACAACGTCTGCACCGACAACACTATACAATCAGTTCCGACCACAACCGCCCCGTTTCACAAACTATAATACCCTTCCGCCTGAGTTTGATATCGCGCCCTTCACTACACCAGCCATTCCTTACTTTGATTTGGAGAACGCCTTCCGGTCGACAACACCACCGCCGCCTCCGACAACTACCACAACACGAGCGCCACCGACCACTCAATTGCCACTAAGAAATCAGATCCGCCCGAGACGTCCGGTGCCACAACCGGTTCCTCAAACCACTCAACGACCCAATCGTCGACCAACACAGCCACCAACTACCGAAGCGCCGGCCACTCAGTTTGACGGACCGGCCATTTTTGCAGAAAATGACGGCAAAATAGGCTGCAATAAGCGGGGAGTTCACGCCCACCCCAGCAGCTGCGGTATGTTTGTGGTGTGCGCACCCGCCTCCCGGGCCAACAAACAGCTGCGAGCACTTACCCATCACTGTCCGGCGGATCAGGTGTTTGTGCAGGAAGTGGGCAGATGTCGGCCCGGAAACAAAGACCGCTGCGAAGTCTTCTAATATTTGAAACAATAAGACAAAGAAAGAGAGACTCAGAAGAAATTTGCTTTAATTTAATTGTTTTTATATTGAAATAATGTTTGATTAATGAAAATCAATTGCCATTTATTTTTGAAGTGATTTTTAGTCATCTTTTTTATTGTATGGTTTTATATAAATGTTATAAATATGATATTAAATCATTTTTGTAATTTCATAACACACATTATTTTATTATTTTGTGCTAAACCTTTATTAATTCATTGTTTTTTGAGAATTATGTTTTCATAATCTATTTTCTATGACATTAAAAAATAGTTATTTCATGTTCAAACTAATGTTGTTAATTGTTTTATTATTCATAAGAATTTAATAATAAAATATTAATACTGTATCATCAAAAAAAATATTGTAATGAATTAAAAATTATAAAATATCTTTAAAAAGTATTTATAAATACAGTATGATATATTCATAGATATTATTTTACAGTAATATAACAAATAATGACATATTAATAGAAGTTAGAATGAGAACTAAATTATTATAAGCATTATAAATATCTCAGTACAGTATTACAGTTAATCCATTAAATGTGGATATAATATATCGCATAATATATAATATATTTAACCGATTCATATTAGTTAGAGTTGTGGTTGTGGTGAGTGTTGTTGAGTTGACGCATATTATATAAATATAGTTGTAATGTATTGTATTGAGGGCTCTGAAGATTCTGCATCACATTGACCGCCAAATGACAACATTTGTTAAAAATGTATCCCTTTTTAGTCAAACACTTCTCAAACCTAAGCATCAGTTTTTCGCCAAAATGAGGCATTTTATTTCTTCCTATGAGACACAATAAGTTTGTTATTAATATTTGGTTGTGTATTGACAATAATATCAAGAAAATTGAGTAAAATAAGTCTTAAATTAAATGATACCATAAAATGCTAGCTTGCGATTGTGGGCCCGATTGGAGTTTCGTTGCAATATATCAAACGCATAGAACATAGCCTCGCAGTGATAGCCCTTATCCCCAGCGATATGCCCTAACATACAACACGCCGTGTCCTTATCCATCCATTCTATGCATCCATTCAGTCGTTTTGTTTTGTCATTATTTTCAACAAATATATTTATTATTTGAATAGTTACTGTAAATACCTTTAATATCTTTCAAACTGATATTAGTGGGCAGTCGTTTGATAGCATTTTTGTAATCATTGTGAATATCATCTGAATAATCATCCAAATCGATGCTAACATTGTGACGATTCTTCACACGATTTCTGTTCACAATTGAGTCCTTATTTTCATTGCTATTGAGTTTCTTAAGGAAACCTATGAATAATGTATTCAATATTCTCATTTATTATCAATCGGTCTATTTATCAATGATATGTCAATTTTGTGCAAATGTTTGCTTTTTAAATGACAAATAAATGTTTTTATAAATTAGCTATAAAATTGATATTAATATTTGCTTTAAAATAATATATTAAGAAATAAATTTCATTACAAGCTCAAGGACAATCTATATTTAAGTTATTTGTGAGTTATTTTAGTATCAATAGATTTTTGTTGTCAAAGCACTGTATGTTTGAAATTGATTTGAATAATAGAAAGAAAAGTCATCTATGTCATTTATAACACTTACCCTCAAAATTATCAACATTCAAAGCATTGGTCACTCCAAACAAATAAATTATTACAAATAATTTTATCCTTATATTCATTTTAGGGATTATATTAAAATTGTTTTCAATTAAAGCCAATAAAATTCAATAAAAACTGTTTAATTTACTTTATAATCACATGTAATAAAAGTTTTTTAGATTATTAAGTTATTAATGTGTGCTTTTTTAATAAATTAAGAATTTAACTTTTTAAATAATTACTAATTACTGTATATTAATTAATTATTAATATATAAGTGGAATTAATAAAAATTATTAAAATAATTTGAAAATAATTGCTATTACTAATAGTTTGGGCTTTGGATACAAACCTAATAAAAACTTAAAGTTAGAGAAAATTATTCATATCATAACCAAACTGAAGAAGTGGTGTTGAGGAGAGTAGTAAAACTCAAAGCAAAACAAATCAAACATATGCCACAAAATTTTTACCATATATTTAGCTGAACTTTGGATACAGTAGTTGTGGTACTGTTTTAGAAGGGGGTTTGTCACACCACTTCAGACTCCATAACATTCATCAACTAAACATTTATACAATTTTTTGGGGGTAAATATCCTTAGTTAAAATGACAGCTTATGCCACATATAATATCATAGCCGCATATCATAAATCATTTGCTTATAAGTTATAACTGTTAATTCATAACTTTTACTAATGACAAAACATTAAGAATTGAATGAACAATAACAATAAAAGTTTGGATACTGTCCTTCAAATATATTACGATTCGATACTGATTTGTATGATAAGTTAATCTCATGTTTTTAGATAAGCAATAAGTCAATAAATTACCCCAACTATTGACTTCTCTTATTTAAGATATTCATTCAGTGTGATTAATAATCACTGATTATTATTAATAATTTATTATTATTATTACCGTAATTTTCAATCAGTTATTCTAAAAAATAAAATATTTGTTTTAACTAAATTTTAATTATCTGTACAAAAGAAAATTATGATTATACTAGCTTAATTTAATAATCAAATAATATTTACTCTTTTAAATGTTTTTTCAATAACTTATTATTATATGAGATAAATGGGGAAAAAGGGACTAGAAATCATTGAAAAGAGAAACTGTATTAAAAGCAGGCGTCGGGAATCGAACCCGGGTCCCCAGATTACATGTCTGGTGTCTAATCAAAATTTATTAACTGATATACTGTAACATCTCATACATAATACCACACATTATGAGACACCAAATGAAAGGCAAGAGTTTTTGAACAATTTAATTTGATGTGTTTTATCTGAATAACTTTGCAATGGAGTTAATCTTTAGTTGATTTGATGTCTCAAAGTTTAGAAAAACATATTTAATAAATATTAGGGCAGTAATTATGTTTATATGGGAATTGAAAGACTTGTGACGATTGTAAGAAGTGTAGTGCATTTGACAGAAAGGAAATCACATGAGTATCGGTCTGTCAGTCAAACAAATGAATGTAAAACAAAGTCTTGCGTTTTCTTCACTACACTGTAGTAATGCCCGACTCTTATGAAGTGAACGTATCGTATATAATGACCAAACATTTGCAATAATTGTTGTTTTGAACAGTTATTTCAACGGAAACTGGACTCAACTTAACAGTCAAAGGGTTTGTCGAGCGAACACTTCCTGGTCTGGTCTAAGCTCTCAAGTTTTAAATCACCAAAAATGTTGTGCTCTATTGGACAGACATGTAATTTAGTTGAGATCAGCAAAAGTGAAACGTCAGTAATGGCAGCAAATCCCTGGCACTGGTGGCACGCGTCCAACTGCTCGGCAATCAGCTGACCGTATCGAATGGGGGCCATATGGCCGGCCATACACTCATACATACATCCATACATCCAACCA